AGGCTAAGCCAGGATTGCTTGAAGCTAGGAGTTCAAGACTGGCCTAGGCAACATTGTGAGACTCTGTTTCATTGGGGGGCGGGGCGGAAATGACCTGCCTTGGGTGTCATTGGCAGGACTGGTGGGACCTGATGGTGTGGGCGGCCCCATCAGTCACTGTCCATCTCCCTTCCTTCCCAGCATCCCCTGGGCTCCCCCTGCCCTCATTCACCCCTTGCGGAACCTACCCTTTCCTGAACCACTCAGGCACCATCACAGGGTATTACTCGGGCTGAGGCCTGTACCAGTGCTGCAAGGGTGACCTGTGCCCTTCTAAGGGGCATGGTGTATGGAGTGGTAAGGTCAGCCACCCAGCTAGTATGTGATGCCAGCCGCTGGGTTAGCTTCCTGCTAAACTGACACCTCCTCCACCCTAGAGAGTGATGTATAGATAAATTCTCCCCGCAGTGACCTTGAGGGGAGGGTGACTGGGATGTAGGGCCTGGAGGGGACCTGCCCCTTGTTGCAGTCAAGGGAGGCATGGCCGCACCAAACCTGCAGAGAGCCCTGAGGCCAGGCCGGGCACATGGCAAGTGCGCTATCAGTCAGCCGAGACCCCGTGGTGACACAAGAGACCGTCTTTACGCAATCTCACGCAACCATATTTAAAAAGACCACCAATGAAATCATAAGAGGCAATAGGTGGCTATGCATTAAGTACACACACTGTTGGAGGTCTAAGCGGTGGGAGCGATCTGCTTGACGATTCATGTAGACCAGCTGAGAATAACAAATCCCAGCTACCACACTTCAAAAAGGACAAAAAAAAAAAAGAGCCAGGTCGTGCTCACCGCCTGTAATCCCAGCACTTTGGGAGGCCGAGGCGGTTCAAGACCAGCCTGGCCAAAATGGTGAAACCCCATCTCTACTAAAAATGCAAAGAATTAGCCGGGTGCAGTGGCAGGTGCCTGTAATCCCAACTACTCAGGAGGCTGAGGCAGGAGAATTGCTTGAACCCGGGCGGTGGAGCTGAGAGTGAGCTGAGTTGCAGTGAGCTGAGATCGTGCCATGGCACTCCAGCCCAGGGGACAAGAGTGTGACGACTTCTCAAAAAAAAAACCAAGCCAAACCAGGCACGGTGGCTCACACCTGTAACACCTGTAATCCC